TTACAAGAGTAATCATTACAAGGGTCTAATGACCTTGGTTTAAATAATTATAAACATGAGTGAATCATTCACATTTGCTTGAAATACAGAAAATTTCAATTTAAGCACCCCTCCCTCCCTCCTAAAGCCCCTAAAAGTACCTTACTAATTGCATGCCTCCCAATTGATTCAGAAAGTTAAAAAGGCATTCAGTGGTTTAAACTTCCCAGGACAACAACCTTCAGTGTGCAGCCCATGCATGAGAATAATCCACCCCATTATCAAAAGCAATTCAATTTACATTCCATCCTGATAGTTTATTGCATTCCTACGTAAATCTTAGTGTTGTGTTATCTGAAACATTTGTCACCTTATCCTTGTGTCTGTAAGGATTTTCTAAATGGAAAGCAGAAGGGAAAAAGGGAAAGGAAGAATGCATTAAGTAGACAGGTGACAACAAGGCATGGAGAGTAGAGAGAGCAGCTTGAGCATGTGAGGTTAGTAAGTTTATTATATAGCACATGAACCAAACTTGTTTATTTTGAATTTGCCAGATTAAGCAAACAGAAATACATGGCTTATGACCATTTCCATGGAAATGGTCTGCACAGCAAAATGTTGACAGACTAAGGACCAATCAGAGAGCTCAGATTTACCTAGGAACTACTTTGCCATATCATTATGCAATTTAAGATGGGTATAGAGTAATACTAATTGGTGCTTTTCAAAAAAGAATGAAGGAACACATTCAAATAAAATCTGTGCAAATAAATTTCATTGCTTCAGTTCTCTACTGCCCTTTCTACACATAAAGAAATGCTTCAAGCTTAAATGCAAATTGCACTGTCATACATCCACAAAATATTCTGAAAATAAGAGAAAACTAAGAAGGGCTTACCAGAAATCTGTAGAGGGAATGGATATATCATACACAGTAATTCATAAATTTTTTCTGCCTTCTTCCCAGGGAGGGGAATTTCAGTTGATGTGGCTTCTTTAAAGCCTGACTGGAACATTGTGTTGAACACAGGTGAGCTGATAGCCAGAATGGATCTGTGCACATGAAATCGCTTGTCCTCTACCACCAATACAGCGTCACTAAAATTCCAAGGCTCAGAAAACTTTGGCAGCTGATCTCCAGTGTTAAACAGGTCCATACCTGATGATGAGCACATCAATAGTTATGTGGTTAGACAATTCAATGCCAATTGGCCAATCCAGCTAAAACTTATCCAGTTTTCCATGCCATGAGCCAATTAGGAATATTAGGCCACTTGGAAATCATAAGCTTGTCTACCCATCAACCCTATCACCTTTTAACCCCTAAGAGTGACCAGCATCTAATTTCTCCTTACAACATCACCACTGAATCAAACATTAACGTCATGTGGGAATTAAGGAAATGATCCCCTACTAAAGAAACTCTTGATTGTTGGAAAAATTCTCCTTGTCAGTGCCTTAGTAAATGTACAGAGAACCGTATGGAGAATATGAATACTGATGTTAGGGTATAAAGGGTTAACTACTGTGAGTGACCAAGACCAAATTTTTCCATTCAATATCAATACAATATCAAGCAATATCAAGAAAGGACTACGCTATTCCTCTTACTTATTTCATAGCTGAATAAGGAAGGGCAAGAAAGCTATTTGACACACTTAGGTTTTGAAACTACTGAGTTTCAAAACACTTGAAAACTCTTTACAGTGGCCAATTCACGTTATCAACTCAGTTGATAATACTAAATTACCCTGTTATACTCTCCCACTAATGCAGCACCACAGTTCCTCAATAAATTTGCCCCCTTTTTCCAAAACTACTGCTTCATTTGGGAACACATTCATATGATCAGACCTGGAAAAATGTCTTCAGCACAATGAACAATAAGCATGATGTGGAAAATTTGGCACATTGAAGCTTGGAATTTATCATTTCCACTACTGGCTAAACTACAGAATACAGAGCTTCTTTTAACCATCTACCAAACGAGCCCGCTCGTTTAGCTCATTTGCTCCTTTGTTGACCCTAGAAACCAAGACAGAATTTCTCCTTACATTATCAGTACGATATCAATCAGACAAGTAAGGAAAATAAAGAAAAATATCAATTAGGGGATTATTGGTTGATCCAATTCCAAATTCTCCAAGCTAACATCGCATAAATTGCATGGCAGACAGTAAGGAGATTTACTCATGAAATCTTGGGAGTTAAAGGATTAACAGAAAAGACCACTGCCGAGCCAAATGAACCAAACAAGCCAAACAAGCCACTAGTTTCATGTAGATGCTCCTACAAAAGTGGCTCTGTATTGTGTAGTTGCTCCCCATCATCTTAAATCAACTTAGTTGATGACATTAAATTACCCCATTATTTTAATCTAATTCCCTCTAAACAGAAGTCTCGCCCAATACTCGGGTGGTAAGGGGACTGAAATTTGAAAGTCAACTGACGGGAAAATAATATGTGTACACAGCTCATCTCCCTGCAAAGATTTGAGAATATAATCACAGGTGAAACAGGGCCTGAAAAATTGAGTTTACTTTGATTTCCAAGATGACACCTAGTATCGAGACATTGAGCTTCGCTGAGAATAAGGAAATACTGTTGTTAACATTCCTATGCGCTGTTTCTAACCCTTTATACCCCAATGTTTTGGCATGGAAGTAATGAAAAATACGCCTGCATGCGCTTCCAGGTGCCTTTGAAAAACGAGTGTTGCAAACATGTTTGTCACTACTGAAGTAAACATTGGTTTAGAGACAACTTATTTCGTTTAAGATAAAGTATCTCTAAACGATGAACAGCTACTTTATATCACTCTACGTAGAAAAAAAATTATTTCCTCATACCTTGCAAAGGCAAATTTGAGACTGTTGACGGTACAAGTTTTAGTTTGACTCGACTTACTTCACCAGATACAAATGAAGTCAGCGCTCATCAGCCAAAACAAAATTTTCGTGGTGTAAACATAATCGAAATTTCTTACGGCAGAATAGGTCCGTAAGGCGTACGAGGATGCGTTAGTAAAGAAGAAGATCGGTATTTAATTTATATATAACATAGGTATCACGCCTAAAAGAAAAGAAAAGTACAAATGGCGATTGAGTGAGAAATCTTTGGTGGGGAGACAACAAATTTTAGAAATATGCGAGTAAAAGATTACATGCTTCTGCTTTAATGTATCGGTATTTATAGAATATATGAAAACGTTCAGATGGAATTTTTACCTGTACGCGTGAAAAGCATTAGAGTTACCATTACTATTTCAATACCAGAACATAAAACTGTTGAAATTCTAACACTTGAAGGTAAGAAAAGTAAAGCGTACGATTTCAATTTCCTTTGCTGATCAGGTGTGAAACGAAAAAAATGACGGTTTGTCGTCGTAAGTGGGACAGTCTGAGCCTTGGTTGGGAATTGTAAATTTTCACTGCGGGTTTTTGGGTAAAAATGATTGGACCCAGACTTCTCTCAAAATTGTGTCACGTATCACAGCGGACGCGTTTTTAACTGCGTGGGAAGGAGAGCTGTAACTGAGGTCTCTCTATGCTCCGAGACACGTCAACTGCTTGGGAAGGGAACCTGTAACAGAGCTCTCCCTGTACTCCTAGACACGTAAACCGCGTGGAAAGAGAAGCTATAGCAGAGGTCTCTCTGTGATCCTAGACACGTTAACCGCGTGCGAAGGGGAGCTGTAGCATAGGTCTCTCTGTGCTTCTAGACGCGTTAATAGCGTGGAAAGGGGAGCTGTGACAGAGGTCTCTCTGTGCTCCTGGACACGTTAACAGCATGGGAAGGGGAACTGTAACAGAGGTCTCTCTGTACTCTTAGACACGTTAATCGCGTGGGAAGAGAAGCTATAACAGAGGTCTCTCTGTAATCCTAGACATGTTAATCGCGTGGGAAGGGAAACTGTAACAGGGGTCTCTATGCTCTTAGACACGTTAATCGCGTGGGAAGAGAAGATATAACAGAGGTCTCTTCTAATCCTAGACATGTTAATCGCGTGGGAAGGGAAACTGTAACAGAGGTCTCTCTGTGCTCCTTGACACGTTAATCGCGTGGGAAGAGAAGCTATAACAGAGGTCTTTCTTTGCTCGTTGAAACGTTACAACAGGATCGTTTGGATTTGGGTGCTATCGAAATGAAAAGGAAGGGTAAAGATTACCTCATTAAGCGCGAGAAACAGTTGTAAATCGCTTGTTTTTTGGCGAGTGATTTACAAACTTTTCCGTGTTTTTGCCAAGTGAGTTATTATGCCGGTAAAGCGGTCTATTGCTTTTATGAAATAAACTTAAAATATTTCAATTTTTTACGAGTTGACTGGTGCAATAAATGATGAGTTCTTGACCAATTAGGGTTTTCGTCGTATCTCAGCTATCTCAGAAATACAATTAACCTATGGATAACACCGAACACACTTTTTAACTTCGACTGATTTCAAAGTACACCATGAAGTTTTATTGCATCTTTCAAAGTTCATTTGTTGAAGTTTTTACACTCAGTTATTTAACCCGGCAAAAATCTCATCTTGGGCATACGCACATCAATCTGTATTTCCTCCTCAATAAACAAGTCAGACCGCTTGCTGTAATAATCAATGTGTTTATATATCATGTGTTTCTTTAATATCTACAGTGACACGACTACGGAGCTGAGAAATCGAAAGTAATTTCGGGTTTGTATCGGTTTTGCTTTTCCTGACCCCGTGATTGGTCGAAAAAAAACTCAAACCACCTTCTCAACCATTCAGATTCAAGAGTCGAACCAATCGAGGCTTATTCACTAACATTTTCCAGCACTCGAGATCACTTCAAGCTCTCATTGGCACTGATTGACTGATATTTTCTTTGATTTGTTTTCTTTCTCTTTTTTTCTCTTGGTCTCAGGGCACTCAATTCTAAATGATGTTTCAGGAACCCAATTTTGTTTTAAAGCCGTATAGTTCAGTTACACTAAGGGGATCGGGAGCTTTAATATTCCTCTCTTCTCTTAACTCTCCCTCTCAGTAACGTATTCCTTTGAGTCATGAGATGGAAGGATGTGGCCCCTGGTTCACCTTTACTGCAAAACGCTTCACGAATTTAAAAGGGCCATCCACAAGAGTTTAAATTATTTTATTTAAATGATTATTTAACAAGTAAGGTTTTGAGTTATAACAATTAACGCACAGATTTATAGTCTTTCTTAATCTATTCATACTTCAGTGTTTTTAAACTTATCTATTGGTTGAAAGGACCCCTCAG